AGCGGGGACCCGACACATATCATTGAGAGCTGGTATCAGTTGTTTTTGGTTCACCTCGAGCCGATGGAGGAGGGTGTGGGTCCTGGCGTTTTTGCAGAGGCCGAAGAGCTCTCACAAGCGGAGAGTGAGCTGGGCCCGCAGGCTTTCGTGGTTTTGGGGCCTGACTTTTTTTGGTTGATGTCTGGGGGCTTGCAGATAGTTTGGTTCCAGCAAACACCAGTTTTTCCATTTTCTCTGAGAAACACAGAAGATGCTGTGGAGATGCTGGAGATAGGGATAACGTGTCTGGTGAGAGGGTAGAGGCTGTAGGGGGCTGTTTCTCTGGTGTTATTGGAGGCTGTAAAATGCTGTCCTGGTTTTCCAGCAAGTCGTCCTTGGGTGCTGAATGTTGAAGCAGTTCTAGTATGTCACAGTCTGTCTGTGGTGAGCTCTGTGGGCAGGGCTCTGCTAAGATTGTGTCCGTGAGCAGAGGCTGTTTTGGCTGAGTGGTGTTATCATTGTCCTTGTGTGACGTATCAACCGCATGTCCATCCAGGTGCTGAAGTGAAGTCCTGTGGTCATTCATACTGTGTCCAGGTGTGTGTGTGCCATTCAGGTTGAGTGTATTGCCACACACTGCAGAAGGATGATTGAGGGAGAAGTAGATATTGTCCTTTAGCACTCTTGAACCAAGTTTGTTTGGGTGGAGCCCATCCTGTTGAAATAGTTGCCTCTGACTCCAGAAAAGATTGAAGTTGTCAATGAAGTTTACTCCTTTTATATTGCAGGTTTTTTGGAAACATGTATTAAGCCCAAGCAACCGTGAAAACCTGTTTGTTCCTCTTGCTGGGAGTGGTCCACTGATGAATGTTTTTACTTTCAGGGCCCTATTTTAACGATCTGAAACGCAAGTGTCAAAGCGCAATCATCTCACATTCCCTTTAAGAGCAGGCGCGCATGTTGCATGGCGGATTGCTATTATAACGGCGGATTTACCAGGCACGCGCCAGGAGCGGTTCACAGCCGAGGAGACCGACGCTTTTGTCAGGACCGTGAAAGACAGAGAAGTGACGTTGTATGGGGATGGGAGAAACCCACCCAAATCAGCGTCGGTTAAACAGGCGTGGGAGGAAAACAACTAAATTTTTTACATCTCCATGGACACCACAATGATTTCACTCATGTGTTAATATTTTTCCTTGTTATAATGTATGATTTTCAAAAATAAAAACTGCTGCATCTGTGTTGATGAGAGAATCAAAGTGTATGCGCGTTGTGCATCCGCTACATTATGGCCAAGCATGCGCGCTTAAAATAGCATTATGAACACGCGCAACGCGCCACTGACTTTAGACTACTTTTTTTCTGGTCAGTGGCGCAATTGTTTTATAGAACAGCAAAATAGCATGAGGGAAAGTTTGCGCCGGAACACGCCTCCTCTTTGCGCTGAACCACCCCGGGGAGCGCAAGTGTATTTCTTAGTTAACCGACGTGCGTCTGTGGAGGGAAAAGTCCGCTTTGCGCGGGTGCAAAATGGGAATGATACATGCGTCAGTGTACAAAGTCATTAGCGCCGGGTGCAAGATAGAGCCCTCAGTCTTTTAAGTGTTTCAAAAAGTTCATTGAAATCCTTCTTAAGGAGTTCTGACTGCTCTTGATGAATATCATTTTTCCCCACATGAATGATGAGTCGATTTGCAGTCTTATGTTTTGTCAGAATGTTCTCAAGTTCCCTGTTTACATCAGAAGTCGTTGCTTGTGGAAGGCAGCACGTAGTTGTATCCCTGCTACTAATGTTTCTGATTATTGAGTCACCCACTATCAGACTCCTGTGCTCGGCTGCGCTCTGAGCTGAGTGCCGCTGTCTGCTCAACCTTGAGCGCCAGTGAGCAGTGTTAGCTACAGGCTGGTTCAGTCTGTGTTCGATCACGTTCATCACATTCAGGGATTCCTCATTCATTAATACTTCAAATCTGTTCTCAAGATGTATAGGTGGTGGTAGGAGACCAGTGTTTGCAATCCTTGTCAGAGCCGTATCTGGGGTAGAGGAGGCTACTGCAGCAATATGTGATGCTCGTGACAATCTGATGTCTCGAGTGCCTTTGGGTCTCGCTCCCTGTTTGTGCCACCGATTTGTAAATCGATCGGCTTGTTTCTCTACACTCAGTATGGCCTGTATTGGAGCACTAGATTCATGGGACTCACCGGCTGTAGGCTGAGGGCGTCCATGACGAAGCTCTGTTGTGTGTTCCGACTGGTTTGGTGGTCCCACAAGTAACTTTGTTTCAAGAACTGCAATCCTTTGTAAAAGTCTCTGGCAGTTGGTGCAGCAAGTAGATTCCAGAAGAGGCATTTTCTCTTATCCTTTAGAATGTAGGCAGTTGTGTTTTCTTCCCCGGAATGTAAGCAGTGGGAGGCTGGTTGAATAAAAGTATTTTTTTGTAGTAATCCAAGCGTTTGAGCACTGTGCTGATTAGCTGAAGTTAAAATTAGGTGATAAAAGGAGATAAAATATAAAAATATAAAAGCGATAGAGCAAAGCGCGGAGCGGTAAGCAAGAGCGTCCAAACAGTAGCTGGGCACACATATCTATGGTTAATACCATCTAGGCATACATATCTACGGTTAATACCATCTAGGCGCACATATCTACGGTTAATACCATCTAGGCGTGTTAATACCATCTAGGCACACATATCTTTTGTTAATATCTTCTAGGCGTACATATCTACGGTTAATACCATCTAGGCATACATATCTACGGTTAATACCATCTAGGCGTACATATCTACGGTTAATACCATCTAGGCACACATCCTGAATCCAGAATCCAGAATCGTTCTTTCTTCGCCGGCCAAAGGTGGTCAGCGCAGACCACAACGATCTGCCCAGGTCTGTCGGTCCTGTGCGAGCCCCATCCAATTGTGTCCCAGATCTTGTGGTAGCGAGTCGCGCCATCGTGTTGCAGGGCGTCCGCGTGGCCGCTTGATGTCGATCGGCAACCAGACAGTGACTTCGCGCGTCCATCTTTCGTCCGTCCGCCGCATCAGGTGCCCGGCCCAGCGCTTCTAGGCACACATTTCTACGGTTAATACCATCTAGGCATACATATCTACGGTTAATACCATCTAGGCATACATATCTACGGTTAATACCATCTAGGCATACATATCTATGGTTAATACCATCTAGGCGTACATATCTATGGTTAATACCATCTAGGCGCACATATCTACGGTTAATACCATCTAGGCATACATATCTACGGTTAATACCATCTAGGCATACATATCTACGGTTAATACCATCTAGGCATACATATCTACGGTTAATACCATCTAGGCGCACATATCTACGGTTAATACCATCTAGGCGCACATATCTACGGTTAATACCATCTAGGCGTGTTAATACCATCTAGGCACACATATCTTTTGTTAATATCTTCTAGGCGTACATTTCTACGGTTAATACCATCTAGGCATACATATCTACGGTTAATACCATCTAGGCGTACATATCTACGGTTAATACCATCTAGGCACACATCCTGAATCCAGAATCCAGAATCGTTCTTTCTTCGCCGGCCAAAGGTGGTCAGCGCAGACCACAACAATCTGCCCAGGTCTGTCGGTCCTGTGCGAGCCCCATCCAATTGTGTCCCAGATCTTGTGGTAGCGAGTCGCGCCATCGTGTTGCAGGGCGTCCGCGTGGCCGCTTGATGTCGATCGGCAACCAGACAGTGACTTCGCGCGTCCATCTTTCGTCCGTCCGCCGCATCAGGTGCGCGGCCCAGCGCTTCTAGGCACACATATCTACGGTTAATACCATCTAGGCACACATATCTACGGTTAATACCATCTAGGCACACATATCTACGGTTAATACCATCTAGGCATACATTTATTTGGTTAATACCATCTAGGCACACATATCTATGGTTAATACCATCTAGGCACACATATCTACGGTTAATACCATCTAGGCGTACATATCTATGGTTAATACCATCTAGGCACACATATCTATGGTTAATACCAGGTGTTAACAGGTTCAGTGTTTGTTCCAGTAGCACCTCATTGCAGTACACGAGATCCAGGGGGCGGAATTGGATCCAGATATAAGGGGTGGAGATGGGTAGGATTAGGGGTGGGGTTAGGGATCAGGGGGTGGAGATCAGTCGGATTAGGGGTGGGGTTAGGGTTCGGGGTGGAGATGGGTAGGTTTAGGTATGTAAGGTGGGAGGAGTTGGATCTGAATCCAATTCCTCCCCCTGGATTTCATGGTCTGCAGTGAGGACCATCTCGTTTGTTCTGCATTCTCTGATATAAATGCCCTCTACATGTATCTGTATCAAAGGTGGGTAACACTTTATTTTACAGTGTCCCTGTTACTAACCTTGCATGTACTATAAGTTAAATATAGAAAGTAAAGTAAAATTATGTACAAGTAAAAATGTAGAAGTAAATTATGCATAATTCCAAGCAACTAACCCTAAAACAAACCCTAACCCTAATTATGTAGCAAGTACATGTTGCTAATTAATAATACTCAGTAATTAAACGTATAATTACACTGTAACAAGGTGTAATGATCCACTGGAGGCAAGTTGTAGCGAGAACCCAAGTGCAGTATCTATTACAATTAAAACAAAACATGAAACAAAAACATGGCGTGGCATGAAAACAAAAACCAAGGCATGAACTTACACAACAGTAGAACAACAGGAAACAATACTTGACAAAGACACTTGGCAAACATGAGGGCTTAAATACACACAAGACTAATGACAAGACAAGGGACACCTGTGAACAATGAACAGACGATTATCCAATGACAAGACACATGGCAAGATCACATGACAAACAGGGAATCACATGACAGACACACATGGAACATGATATGAACAAACCAAAACGTGACAGAAACAAGACCAAATCGTGACACAAGGACACCTTAAAATAAAGTGTAAGCCAAATATGTTTGGTTAATAAACAATAATGTGTTTTCTCTGTCTGCAGTTACTGAGAGAGCTGAAGCATCCAAACGTCATCGCCCTGCAGAAAGTTTTTCTTTCTCACAGTGACCGTAAGGTCTGGCTCCTGTTCGACTATGCTGAGCATGACCTGTGGGTGAGTATATTCTGTATACAAACATTTGGTATTTTAATACTTTTTTACCATGTACATTATTAGGTTCAGCAATGCTTTAATAGTTACACTTTAGTTTTTATCTTATGGACCATTTTCTATTTCTTTTTTTTATTTTTATTTTTTTATTTTAGGTTCAGTTTTGTATGACTTTCTTTCTTTTCTTCTTTCTTCTAAACACAACAGCAGATGTTTAGCAGAATGTCTGAGATGTGCTCTTCCATGCAATGTAAGTGGATTGGGACTGGGGTTCAAAAAGCATCACAAAACAAGTCCATACTTATAAATTATATTCAAGGTCATCTAAATTCATACGATAGCTCTGCGTGAAATTGACTGAAACTTAAGTTATTTCAGGTATTCACACTACTACTTCAACTGAAAATGTATCTTAATAGCCGTAGTTGCCTATTCACTTTCATTTTTAGGAAGAGAGCAACTTGGACATTCTGCCATAACAAACTTTTTTTGTGTTCCACAGAAGAAAGAAAGTCAAATGAGTTTCAAAAGACATGAGATTGAGTAAATGAAGTTTTCATATTTGGTTTAAATAATCCTTTGAGAAATTAGCTGAGGAAGCTACTGAACAATTGACTAGTTATTTATATCTAAAATATTCAAAATCTTTGAGAAAACAAGTCACAAAAACGTTCATAGCAACACAATGTTTTAGTTTCACCTTCATTATAGTATGTGTACCGTATCTTAGCGCCAGTCCACACTGTGATCCACTGCTCTGCTGTGTCATTGTTTTTCTATGTAAACATGAGCTAGACGACCTCTGCGCACTCTGCCAAGTTAAAAGAAGTTCAGCTTTGTCAGAGCTGATATCCTCATGAACAGTTGCGCTTCAGAGTTTGAGTGCCTTCTGTGTCTGAGCTTCTGGTCCTTTCCCGATCATGTCTCCTGCCTTCCACTTTTCGTACAGCCCAGCTCCAATGAAGGCACAAATACCACAAAAAAAAGAGAGAAAAAAAAAAAAAAAAAGTTATTCTTTTAAAAACATATCTCGAGACTCTGGCTTCTTGTTTTATTTATCATCATTGCGGCTCTGCAGTTTTGTTTCACACTATTGTGTGGGATCTCACGTTTTTAAAAACAAAAACACATTTGATGCAAACAGCTTATCTGTTATTCTTTAAAGGTTTTAAGCATATATATATATATATATTTTTTTTTTTAAATAGCATGAATTATTTATTCATAAATGTAATTTCAATAGTATTTGTTAAACTGTTTTTTATGTAAACTGGTATCTGTTATTTCAAGAGTATTTTGACCTTGACACTCAGTCATTAGACATGCAAGTGATCCTCTCTCTGTGATAGCATTGTATCTGCATATTGATTGAACTGATGGTTGTCACCTGATCAGTGAAAAAGGTTGCAAAGTCATCCGTAATGAGAGACATGTGAGGTGGAGGAGGACAGGAGAACAGTTTGCAGATGTTACTGGTAAACATCACTGATCTTGAATGGGTTGTGTGTGACCTTGGCAGCAGAAACACTAGAGGAAAAAGATTTCTTGTGATCATATAAGAGCTCATGCCTATTCACAACTGTCTCAAACTCAGTTTTTACCCATTCTTGTGTTGCAGCACATCATAAAATTTCATCGAGCATCAAAGGCCAACAAGAAGCCCATGCAACTACCGAGGGGTATGGTGAAGTCGCTGCTTTACCAAATCTTAGACGGCATCCATTACCTGCATGCCAACTGGGTCCTGCACAGAGACCTGGTGAGCACTAAACACAAGGCTGATGCTCAGATCCGATCTTCAACTTGTATCTGATTTATTTTGTTCTGCTTTTTTCATTCACTTGGAATTGGTTGACAGTGTGAATGCAGCCAGAGATGTTTCGCTTCATGTCATATATGTTCTTCTTAGAATAATACAAGGGCAGCACCCAGTAGAGCAGAAGGACCAGTTCAGTAGCCAAAATTATTCAAATAGTAAGGACGTCCTGTGCCTGTGCTTGCCTTACAATAGACAATTTTCACGGTTTAACAAATCACGTTTTTCTCATTTGTGAGAAAAAGCTTCCCTGCCATTGAGGAGTTTTAACGGCTTTCCGTGTTTTCACTGATATACACTTCTTCTGAACATGTACAGTGTCTCCAGATCAAAAGCAGAAGCGTACAATCTCAAATGAAAATCAGAACGGCCTAATGTTACCGAGTGAAATGTGGACCCAGGAAGTGGTTAGGACTGTTCAAGCATTAGGGGTGTTGATGGACTTGAAATACTGCATATTTTTTGATCATCGTATTGAATCTGATCGAAAAACGCTTTTTGCTCAAAGGGTTGCTTTTTTATGAAACTTACCCACATTCAAGTGTTAATAAAAAAAGCATGAAACTACACTCACCTAAAGGATTATTAGGAACACCTGTTCAATATCTCATTAATGCAATTATCTAATCAACCAATCACATGGCAGTTGCTTCAATGCATTTAGGGGTGTGGTCCTGGTCAAGACAATCTCCTGAACTCCAAACTGAATGTCAGAATGGGAAAGAAAGGTGATTTAAGCAATTTTGAGCGTGGCATGGTTGTTGGTGCCAGACGGGCCGGTCTGAGTATTTCACAATCTGCTGCAGTCCTGTGGGCGAAAATGCCTTGTTGATGCTAGAGGTCAGAGGAGAATGGGCCGACTGATTCAAGCTGATAGAAGAGCAACTTTGACTGAAATAACCACTCGTTACAACCGAGGTATGCAGCAAAGCATTTGTGAAGCCACAACACGCACAACCTTGAGGCGGATGGGCTACAACAGCAGAAGACCCCACCGGGTACCACTCATCTCCACTACAAATAGGAAAAAGAGGCTACAATTTGCAAGAGCTCACCAAAGTTGGACAGTTGAAGAGTGGAAAAATGTTGCCTGGTCTGATGAGTCTCGATTTCTGTTGAGACATTCAGATGTTAGAGTCAGAATTTGGCGTAAACAGAATGAGAACATGGATCCATCATGCCTTGATACCACTGTGCAGGCTGGTGGTGGTGGTGTAATGGTGTGGGGGATGTTTTCTTGGCACACTTTAGGCCCCTTAGTGCCAATTGGGCATCGTTTAAATGCCACGGCCTACCTGAGCATTGTTTCTGACCATGTCCATCCCTTTATGGCCACCATGTACCCATCCTCTGATGGCTACTTCCAGCAGGATAATGCACCATGTCACAAAGCTCGAATCATTTCAAATTGGTTTCTTGAACATGACAATGAGTTCACTGTACTAAAATGGCCCCCACAGTCACCAGATCTCAACCCAATAGAGCATCTTTGGGATGTGGTGGAACGGGAGCTTCGTGCCCTGGATGTGCATCCCACAAATCTCCATCAACTGCAAGATGCTATCCTATCAATATAGGCCAACATTTTTAAAGAATGCTTTCAGCACCTTGTTGAATCAATGCCACGTAGAATTAAGGCAGTTCTGAAGGCGAAAGGGGGTCAAACACAGTATTAGTAGGGTGTTCCTAATAATCCTTTAGGTGAGTGTAGAATAAAGAATTTTTTTGTTTAAATAATTAAATAATAATATAGCTGAAACTTCACTATATTGAGTAAAACGTGTGAAATTACAAACTTGAAATGAACTCAGAGCACTTGTGGTTAAACCGCAGATCGGTATCGGCCGATAATCACATTCTATGACTCAGTCGCTAGTCACTAAATTTGGTACATCTCACGAAATGATCCAATTTGATGTCATCAAACTCAGTCGTTAGGCATGCGCGTGTCATGTTCTACAGAAAATATTTGTTCGAGGACAATTCACTTAAGGATTTAATAAAACGAACCTGATTCGTTGCCTCTGTCATCTGTTCTCAGTGTCTAAGGTGGGGCTCAGGCAGCTCACACACACACACACACACACACACACACACTTATTCAAATATTCAGGACGTCCTGTGCCTCCCTTACAATAGACAAGTTTCACGTTTAACCCTTTCCCTGCTGTTGACGAGTTATCTCGTCATTTGTGAGAAAAAGCTTCCCTGCCATTGAGGAGTTTTAACGGCTTTCCGTGTTTTCACTGATATAAATACACTTCTTCTGAACATGTACAGTGTCTCCAGATCAAAAGCAGAAGCGTACAATCTCAAATGAAAATCAGAACGGCCTAATGTTACCGAGTGAAATGTGGACCCAGGAAGGGGTTACTTAGGACAGTTCAAGCATTAGGGGTGTTGATGGACCTGCATCTGTCCTTCTTCAGGTCAAGCCATCTTGTTCATCTTGTTCCTCTTTCCTTCAGTGATTCTGCTTGTTAACAGCAGGTGTCTTCAACAATGGTTAAATTATCACTTGTTTATCAGTTAATTATACAATTACTATCCATTTACCATGCTGGGAACAAGAAATGTTCTAAAACTCATTCAATGTGAGTTCTGTTTCAGTTATTGAGTTCACATAACTCATTAGTTAGTATTTAACTGTTAGTTACATTTTTTTTTTTTAAATATTTTAGGTTTCTATATTGTATATAGATGAATTACGGCAGTCAGAAGAGAGAGATATGTCAGATCTCCGTCAGCAGAAGTGTCTCTGCAGCATTTGATGCGATACAGGCAGGATTATGCACTGCACAGATGCTCTGGATTTGATAAAGTCTGACAAAATGATGAAAACATCTACATAATCTATACTATGTCTACATTTATTGAAGGTGTTTTGGCTTATTTAAAACATTGCCCATTTTCCAACCATCGATGCAAATTGTTTTACATAAGAGAACATTTTACAGTCAAAGTAAAAAGAAAGTAAAGTTGTATTTTGACTGTATTAGGCTCTTTTTTTCTGGGGTTTTTCCCTCCAATCTAAACTAAACTAAGATATGTGTGTAATGTTCAGCTGCTGTTAATGGTGTTATGCTGTTAATGGTGTTAATGGTGTAATGTTCAGCTGCTGTTAATTCCATATGGATCCAATCCAATGGAAAGTTGTGGCTGTCTGATTGTCTCTCCGCTGTTGTGTAATCCCATCAATCCCTGGTGTGTGTGGATCAATAGCTTACTCTGTGTCATTAACCCAGTTGTGTACAAGAGAAATAGACTTTGTTAGACTGCTCAACAACTGACTTAGAGTCGACATGAATTATGAATGTGATCTGTCAGCAGGATATGCAATGCTTTTGTATTTTGGAAGCATATGTTTCTTTTTACTGTCCTCAGACACAATTTGTGCAGTTTACAGTGTTAACAAGTGTTAAAGGAATAGTTCACCCAAAAAAAAGGAAAATTATTTTATTATTTACTTTCATTCCAAACCCCATACACTATATATGTCAAGCTCAACAGCATATGGATTACATGAAGGTGAGTAAATAATGACACAATATTTATTTTTGGGTAAATTATTCTTTCAATGGAGGCAGCTGTCGTATTTGTGAAATTAGTAGAAACTTCAAACTTGCATAAGACTAATTCTATACACAACTCCAGTGAGGTCTGTCATCATTTACTCAACCTCGGGCCCTTCCAAACCCTTGTTAAAGAAGATATTTGAATTAGATATTTTTTCCCCCCACCATACAATAAAAATGACAACAATAAGTTGGACCCACTTTATATTTGCTAAAATATAACTAAAAAATGTATAATTGTTTGGTACCATTATTGTTTGTTGTATTGTGAAACACTTGTGCTGTTATTGAGGTGGTTACGGGTATGGCTAGGACAGGTGTGGTGGGATGGGTCGGTTTAAGGGTTGGTTAAGGTGTAAGGGAAGGCTTAACAGTGTAATTACAGATGCAGTTACACAAAATAATTACATGCCATTAATTTTCAGATATGAGTACAATAATTGTATCAAATTATTCATTTAAATGTTAATAAATAGTAGTTTAAACACTGGTAACACTTTACTTGAAGGGGTGTGCATAAGACTGACATGACACCTTCATAACCATGACATGACACATCATGAATATGAAGGAGGTTTTATGCATGTTTATGACAACTGTCATTAAGTGTCATTCGCTCAATTATGACATTTTGAATGCAAATATGACATTGTTTGGGATGTCTTTGTTATGACAACTTGACATAAACCAATACATCATAACCTGTCAGTGTCTTTGTCATGACAACTTGACATTACTGAGACAACACAACCTGTCATAAATATGTCATAAACATGACATAGCAGATTAATTATCAAACTTAAGAAACCACTTAGCTTTATTGGTTAACATTACATTAAACTGTCAGGTGGTTGGTTTTGACATTGGCTGTCATGAAGCCATTATAACATTTTAATGATAAATTCAATGTGTACCACTGTAGTCGAGGTCACGAAAAATATTCATGTCATGATTATGAAGGTGCCATGTCAGTCTTATGCACACCCCTTCAAGTAAAGTGTTACCTAAACACTTAATAATTATAAGTAATTATAATAATTAAGTTTCAAGCTCCAAAGATGTCATAAAGGTAGAGTAAAAAGTGTGTGTGTTGTTTTTGTGTGACTCCCTCAATGTTTTGTCTATGCTGTTTCACACTGACTTTAATTTATTTGAGGGTTTATTCTATTTAGGGTTTATAATCTGCTATATGATTATAAATGATTTCACAAGCATAAATGAAATCTGCATTCAATGATGTCTATTCATATAAAAGGAATAGTTCACCCAATAATTTAATTTTTGTCATCACTTACTCTCCCTCATGTTGTTCCAAACCTGTATGAGTTTCTTTCTTCTGTTGAACACAAAAGAAGATATTTTCAAGAATGATGGTAATCAAAGACTTGATGGTAGCCATTGACTTTCATAGTAGAAATAACTACAATTATTTTAGAGTGACTTTGTTACACTGTAAATATACATTTAAGTACTGAGTAATATTAAGTAACTACATGTACTCACTATAGGGTTAGGATTTGGGTATATCTAGAAATATTTTCTTTGGTGTTCAACAGAAGAAAGAAACTCATATAGGTTTGGAACAACTTGAGGGTGAGTAAATGATGACAACATTTCTTACATATAAATGTTAAGGGAATGACAACAGCAGTTTTGAGATGGCAGTGTTGTGTTGATTGAATTACAGAAACCTTATGGTTGCTGTTCCCATAGCAACATACCCTCATTAAGGCTCGTAGAAACTCAAGAGTCTTGGAATAATTAGAAGACACCATTACTGATGCAACAATCAGTCACCCACAACCACATGCAGTAATATCGTCTGTGTCTCTCTGTCCGAACGTTTGATTTGATTTAAAGGTAAAGTATATCATTTCTGTGTTAGTGGCACCAAATATACAGAAACCAGTGTCATGAAATAAATTGTGATCTCTTGAAAATGACAGAAAAATAATTTTGTGCCGTTTGGAAATGTAATTATTTTTGCAGTTCTGTTTGGTGCTGCTAGTACTAATCCTACTAAATAATATATATATAAAAATATGAGAATCTATGAAATATACTATGCTTTATTAGAATTGTAAAGTCATTTTTAGGTTTCATGCAGTTAAAAAAAAAACTAGTTTTCTCCGGCATAGAAAGTATATTCTCTTCAACATGGCCTGCAGAATTATACGGGAGAGGACTAGGGCCAAGCAATAATAAAAAAATAAAACCATCTCGAGATTAAAGTCATTATAATGCGAAATTAAACTCGAGAAAGTTAGAGAAAAAAAAGTCGAAATACAACCTTGAGAATAAACTCATTACATTTTGAGAAAAAAGTCGTTGTGTTTCGAGAAATAAACTCGTTAAATTTCGAGAAAAAAGTCGAAATAATCGTGAGAATAAACTCATTACATTTTGAGAATAAAGTCGTCGTGTTTCGAGAAAAAATGTCGAAATGAAATGTAGAGAATAACGCATTGGATCAGTGTTCATTGCATAGCCTACTGATAGAGGACATGGCAGAGTTGATCACTTCAGTCAAGCTATTTAGACTTTCTTTCAGTAACAAAGAAATACTATCAACTTTAAATAATTATGACAGAATAATAATTAGCATACGAACTTTAAAGAGAATTTGCAAGCGGCTAGGTCTTTTTAGAAGAAAAAATCTGTCCAATTTGCGCGATGTACTCGCTTTTGTCCAACATGAAATGACAACCAGTGGACAAATGCAAGGTTATGCCTGGCTTCTACACGCGATTCATCGAGGTTTCGTGGTTTCCCAGGATACCATAAGACGCATTTAACAAGTTTTTTTTTCTCGAAACACAGCGACTTTATTCTCGAAATTTAATGAGTTTATTCTCAAGATTGTATTTCGACTTTTTTCTCGAAATTTAACAAGTTTTTTTCTCGAAACACAGCGACTTTATTCTCGAAATGTAATGAGTTTATTCTCAAGATTGTATTTCGACTTTTTTTTCTCGAAATTTAACGAGTTTTTTTCTCGAAACAAAGCGACTTTATTCTCGAAATTGAATGAGTTTATTCTCAAGATTGTATGACTTTTTTCTCGAAATTTAACAAGTTTTTTTCTCGAAACACAGCGACTTTATTCTCGAAATGTAATGAGTTTATTCTCAAGATTGTATTTCGACTTTTTCTAGAAATTTTACGAGTTTTTTTCTCGAAACACAGCGACTTTATTCTCGAAATTGAATGAGTTTATTCTCAAGATTGTATGACTTTTTTCTCGAAATTTAACAAGTTTTTTTCTCGAAACACAGCGACTTTATTCTCGAAATGTAATGAGTTTATTCTCAAGATTGTATTTCGACTTTTTCTAGAAATTTTACGAGTTTTTTTCTCGAAACACAGCGACTTTATTCTCGAAATGTAATGAGTTTATTCTCAAGATTGTATTTCGACTTTTTTCTAGAAATTTAACAAGCTTTTTTTCTCGAAACAAAGCGACTTTATTCTCGAAATTGAATGAGTTTATTCTCAAGATTGTATGACTTTTTTCTCGAAATTTAACAAGTTTTTTTCTCGAAACACAGCGACTTTATTCTCGAAATGTAATGAGTTTATTCTCAAGATTGTATTTCGACTTTTTCTAGAAATTTTACGAGTTTTTTTCTCGAAACACAGCGACTTTATTCTCGAAATGTAATGAGTTTATTCTCAAGATTGTATTTCGACTTTTTTTTCTCGAAACACAGCGACTTTATTCTCGAAATGTAATGAGTTTATTCTCAAGATTGTATTTCGACTCTTTCTAGAAATTTTACGAGTTTTTTTCTCGAAACACAGCGACTTTATTCTCGAAATGTAATGAGTTTATTCTCAAGATTGTATTTCGACTTTTTCTAGAAATTTTACGAGTTTTTTTCTCGAAACACAGCGACTTTATTCTCGAAATGTAATGAGTTTATTCTCAAGATTGTATTTCAACTTTTTTTTCTCGAAACAGCGACTTTATTCTCGAAATGTAATGAGTTTATTCTCAAGATTGTATTTCGACTTTTTTCTCGAAATTTAACAAGCTTTTTTTCTCGAAACAAAGTGACTTTATTCTCGAAATTGAATGAGTTTATTCTCAAGATTGTATGACTTTTTTCTCAAAATTTAACAAGTTTTTTTCTCGAAACACAGAGACTTTATTCTCGAAATGTAATGAGTTTATTCTCAAGATTGTATTTCGACTTTTTCTAGAAATTTTACGAGTTTTTTTCTCGAAACACAGCGACTTTATTCTCGAAATGTAATGAGTTTATTCTCAAGATTGTATTTCGACTTTTTTTTCTCGAAACACAGCGACTTTATTCTCGAAATGTAATGAGTTTATTCTCAAGATTGTATTTCGACTTTTTTCTCGAAATTTAACAAGCTTTTTTTCTCGAAACACAGCGACTTTATTCTCGAAATTTAATAAGTTTATTCTCAAGATTGTATTTCGACTTTTTTCTCGAAATTTAACGAGTTTTATTCTCGAAGCACAGCGACTTTACTCTCGAAATTTAATGAGTTTATTCTCAAGATTGTATTTCGACTTTTTTCTCGAAATTTACCGAGTTTTTATTCTCGAAGCACAGCGACTTTATTCTCGAAATTTAATGAGTTTATTCTCAAGATTGTATTTCGACTTTTTTCTCGAAATTTACCGAGTTTTTATTCTCGAAACACAGCGACTTTATTCTCGATATTTAATGAGTTTATTCTCAAGATTGTATTCCGACTTTTTTTTCTCTCTAAATTTAACGAGTTTAATTTCGCATTATAATGACTTTAATCTCCAGATGGTTTTATTTTTTTATTATTGCTTGGCCCTAGTCCTCTTCCGTATAATTAAGGCTCAGTATCATCTGACTTAAATTTTATAATAAAGATGACTTCTCCCACATGTGTGTCATTAAGAAGAGCAATAGCTCAGCGCCTGCCTCTACAGGCTTGCAGCTTCCCTGTGAGACACAACATTTCCATAAACAAAAAGATGTCATGGTTGTGTGGCTCACACAGGTGTGAACAGATATACAGCCGTTAAGAGGCCATGACTTGATCAAGGCAAAAATATGAATTACCCCAAAGTTGAAATAATAATTAGCTCATCCATTTGATGAGGATGTTTTGCCGTAGCACCACAAGTTCACATGACATTCTCAGAGAAACAGAAATATCATTTGTGGTCATTTGTGACCTTTCTTTTTCAGAAACCTGCCAATATCCTGGTAATGGGGGAGGGCCCAGAGCGAGGAAGAGTCAAAATTGGTAAAAAGCTGTACTGGCTACATATAATTTTAATATAATTATAGGACTGTTATATTAGGCTGTCTTAGTGAAAAATGCCTTCAATTAGAGTTTTGTAGCAAATGATGTGGGGAAAAGAGGATATATTATGTAATTCTGCTGAACCTTTTCTTTTTTGGCCAACTTTATTTCCTTTTTAGGTGATATAGTCAAGCTTTAGAGAGCTTAGGCGGGCTATAGGTTCAGTCTGGGTAGATGTGAACCCATTGTCTTACATAAGGCACTATTCTGGGTGATGACTGTTGAAGGCTGTGGCCGCTATTTTTATCACCAGTGGAATTTGTTTTTGTGTTTGGTTACTCTGTGGCTTTCAATGTTTGCTTGAGCATTGGAGCCACTTCACTTAAGCAGCACAACTTTTAATTTAATCTCTCACACAATTTTATATCCTATTAAATTTTGAAAATGGCAACATTTCAACTTTGTATATTAATCAAATGATCCCTAGAATGTTTTCAATGTAAATGTACTATTTTAATAATACAGTTATGACACCACATTATCACTACCCCTGAAACCACCGGTCCAGAGACCACAACACAGTCCTTTACCTTGATTAAAATGCATACAACAACTGGTCATTATTAGCAGATAATCTTCTCGTCCTCTGTAAATGAAAAACTTGAGTACCTGTGATCGGAGTGGGGATATTTATTATGTTAATGTGTTTGTGTGTCATAGCTGATATGGGTTTTGCTCGACTATTTAACTCTCCACTGAAGCCTTTGGCTGATCTGGACCCAGTGGTCGTCACTTTCTGGTACCGAGCACCCGAACTACTGCTCGGGGCAAGACACTACACCAAAGCAATAGGTAAGGAATGCACTGTGTGTATTTCAGGCTGCGCTATTCGTATCTAATCCGTATTTAATATTCTGTTTCATTTTAGATATTTGGGCAATAGGCTGTATCTTTGCAGAGCTGTTGACGTCAGAACCAATCTTCCATTGTCGACAAGAGGACATAAAAACCAGCAATCCTTTCCATCATGACCAGTTAGATCGCATATTCAGCGTCATGGGCTTCCCAGCAGGTGACTGGCCCTGAACTTATCGCATACCCACCTTCACTACAGTATTATAGTCTCTGTGAATTCACTGGATTTCATTCTAATTAAATCAAAACACTTTTTCATCACCACTTTAATTTAATATATCTGAATTGGAATAATTAGGCCATGGCAGTTTCTGGCCAATAAGCAGACAGTGAGTTTGAGAGCTGCAATACCCACAGAAAGTTTTTTTTATTTTTTTTATTTTATTTATTTATCAGGGACAATGCACAAAGTACATTAATCTTGCGAAAAGATGTTTTGTGCCAGAGTTAGCCGAAGCTAATTTTCATCCGCAGTCCCCGGGCAGGTGCACACAATTTTTAAAACATTACATTACAAAACCACTATCAATAGTAAAAATAATGGCAAATAGGCTACACATAATATTAGTCAACGAAGATCATATAAAAACAAACAGATGTTCAAAATGAGAGAACATATTCAAAAGACAATCTCTACCCATAATATATACATTAAATGTGCTGATGCTGACACAGCTGGTTCTCAAGGATATATTTCTTTAAGTGTTGAGAAAAATGGTTCAGATCTATAGACAGCTTTAAACTGTTCGGGAGTTGATTCCATTGTTTAATGATTTTAAATGAATAAGCTGTCTGTGCAAAGGCGGAGGATCTTTTCGAGATGGCAAGATTTCTGTGAACAGTGGATCGGGATGTTCAGTTCGTTTGTTCTGAATAAAGTTTTATGAATTTTTTCATTGAGGGAGGAGCTAGATTATTAATAATTTTAAAAAACAGTTCTCAAATTTGTAAATTGAATTAGGGAATCAAAACTTAATACTTTGTATTTACGTAAAATATTGCAATGATGATAGCGAGGGGCTTTTCTGTCAAGCACCTTTAACGCCTGATTATAGATAGACTGATCGGAGCAGTTTAAGTGTAGTCTCGTTGGCCTGAGACCAACAGGACAAACAATAAGTGATGTGAGAAGAAATCATGGCATTAAAATACATGAAAGATGCCTCAATTGTCAAACTATTCCTAATATGCTTACAAATTGAAATATTATATTTAATGGAGTTAGACAGTTTTTTAATATGTTTTTTAAAACTTAACGTTTGATCTAGATGGACACCTAGATATTTAGTCTCTGTCATGATAGTAATTTTTTTGCCCATTAAAATAGATGTTAGGCATATCTTTTACTTTGTTCGACTTAGCGAAGAACATTCCAACAGTTTTTTTAGTATTTAGTGTTAAGCAAGAAGTTTTTAGCCAATTACTTATTTTGTCCATAGCTGAGGACAATTTAGTGGCTACTTGCTCCATATCCCTATAAGTGTTCAAATAGACAATGCATGATAGTCAATTTACAACCTGTTGGTGTATGAGCAGAGATTTATATTTCTTTAGGTTAGGAACTAACAACTTTATACATTTCTATGAAATTTCAACAAAAAAAAAAATCTCTTAATAGTGTTCTTGATATTGCCATTTCCATTAAGTTTAAATATTCTACGTGTTCTCGAAGCCTAAATTAGTTTGTTCGTTTGAATGCTTGCGTGGACCCTCTTCTCACATGTATTTGAGTTTCAACAAGTTTTATATAACTTGCATTAGGGGTGGAACGGTACACAGAAGTCACGGTTCGGTTCATACCTCGGTTCGGACATCACGGTTCGGTACGATTTCGGTACAATGGAGGGAAAAGCAAAACAAAAATGCAGATGGCATTGTATTTTTAAATAAGTTTTATTAATAAAGGCATAGAACCAGTTTATTTGTAGTGCACTGACAATAGTTTAATATAATTAGTTTATTTATTAAATTAATAAAAAGACAAAAAGACCTTGCGATATGTTTGGTAATTGTACCTGAATTAATTTAAAATTAATTTGCTATATTTCAGATCAATATATTTGTTTTCCTTAATTTTAATTAACATTATTAATTAACAATGTAACATTATTCTCATCTGAATTTATAAATAATTGATTTCTGTATAAAATAATACTACCATTAAAAACACATTCGATTTTCTTTTTTAATCAATGTAGAATGTGTAAGATTAGTGCTCCGAGGACAATAAATGAAAACCAATGCGATATGATGAATGTCCAAAAGATGGGACCCACAGACTGTTTTGAAATGGAGTTGGATAAATATGTTTTGATTTTAAAACTGTGTGTGTGATTTTGGTTGGGTGACAGTTGTAGGTTACAGTGTGACAAGAGTTTACAGTGTGACAAAAGCACAATGTTGTGTTTTAAAGCTAGTGTACACAAATATAAGTAAACACTTTGCAGGTTTAATGATCTGTATGAACAAAATGACGGAGTATGTTTTTTATGTTTCCACTGTTCGATCGTGCCAGCGCCTCTCTCTCTCTCTCTCTCTCTCTCTCTCTCTCTCTCTCTCTCTCTCTCTCTCTCTCTCTCTCTCTCTCTCTCTCTCTCTCTCTCTCTCTCTCTCTCGCGCACACACGCACACACGCACACACGCACACACACACACACTCCAGCATTGGAATCTTGACATCGCAGCCTGTTCATTGTGCGGTCACACCAAACGCGAATAGAGCGTCAAATTCGCGTCTAGTTCGACGCTAGTCCAAAGCGAATAGGACCCGCGTATAAAGCCAACGTTTGAACGCGCGTTCAGAGCTAAGCCGATGGTACAGATTATGTGTCCCTAAAGAACCCGCACATCTAACAGTAGTTCCGCATTACATTAATTAATTTGCACACGAGTGTTTTATTTTTATACCGTGTATTCTCCGTGTAAATTCGTGCACCGAACCGTGACGCCCATACCGTTTCGGTTCAATACCAATACATGTACCGGTCCACCCCTAACTTGCATATATAAATAGTTCAGCCATGGTTCTGATTGGTTCTTTCAATAGCCAGTTGATTTCACATATCCATTACTACTTTCCTTTATAACCACCACACATCCAAAGGAATACACTAACTCTGCGCACAATGCACATTCCCCTCCGCCTCCCCAGCACCACCTGCCTAGATCTTCAGATCTTTCTCTTGCAGAAGCAGTTTCCATTGATTTTATGGTCTGAGCATTTAGTAGAATAAAGTCGTACTTGCTGAGCAGCAGCAGCGTAGCAGTTCTAGTCTTTTATTGTTGATTTTTAAGCAAAATCCGTGATTATTAACTCTCTGGGGTCGGCGGTCTCGCCGGCGATACCAGCTCACTTTTTTCCTTATCAGTGCAAAAGAGACTCAAATTACTCTGTTAATTTTGATCTTACATATAAGTGTTGTACATCATTAGATCCTGTTAAGTTTCTATTTTTTTTGTGGATACTCACAATAAAAACAAAGTGTTGTGCTTTTCACCAAATAAAGAAAAACAAACATGATGCGAGTTTTGCGTTCTCTCTGTCAGTGAAGTCCATTCTGAAACGCGTCCTAAGATTAACTGTAACTCCGCGATTACTTGTCACACAGGCACGAGAGGTTTTTCTTTATGAAGCTTGAATTCTCTTCTTTTAAATGAAGTAATTTATATAAAAAACAAATATTCTCAGTTTATGCAATCTGTATGAAAAGAGAGTGCTGTCAGTATTTTTTCCCCCAGCTCATTACACTTCATTACGCGTTAATCTGACACGCCCACGGACGACGCGCGCTATTCAAACGCAAATGTCGAGGCAAGCCATGACAACGCCCACATCAGCTGTTCCACCGCGGCGGTAAAATGTGTGGTGTATTTGCTGCCTTTTACCGCTAAGAGGCGCTACAATCATAGACTCTGAAAAGTGTTCGTTTATTCCGGTTTATTCTCTCTAATGCGTAATCTGCTGCCGCACCGCGCTGATTCAGAGCGATTGAAAGCTGGTAGCAGAAGAATTCAACAAGTGAAACGTAGTTAAAATAATTCATAATCACAATACTGAAATTAGGCTACTGAAATGTAATTGAATAAATAATGAAAACATTTCAACATAAAACATTGCAATAAAAACATTTAGGCTACATGAACGAGGCTTTACAACTTTAACAGCGTACAGACGATAGCTCAGTGATCAACGCAACGACACGAGCTTCGAGGAGCTTCAACAGACCCGAGATCGAATCTCAATGTAGCATAGATGTTGTTAACCGATGTTGTCCTACGTTTATATTTTCCCACCTTGATGCTTAAATAGGTAACTGTTTATATCTGTTTACTTATTTAAAGTCAAGAGTTTTGTTTGATTATCATTACAACATAAATTTGCTACATTCCTGTAGAACCGCAGCTGCTGCACAAACGACAAAAACTGATGAAGATTGTCAGCCGATCAGAAAATGAAAATGAAGAAGCTCGTCTTTAGTCTGCTAAATTATTGTGTAATGTAAAAGAACACTAAAATTACTTAAGTTTGAAACCAAGTTCGAACATTTCAAGGTTTAAATTGTTTAATTTAAAACAGGGTTGCATCTTGTTTAGAGTTTATTTCTTTTGCGATGCAAAATAAGAAACACTAGGCTAATCTTATTCTTGCGACATTTTAAATTTGTATTGCCAAAGAAATTACAGCTAAATTAAACAATTAAAACAGTAGGCCTACAAAACGAAAATTGTCCAAAGAAACATAATTAAATTAAAAACATGCGTTTCTCTTTGCCTCTCTCGCGCTGGATCTCTTTTTAACAAGTTTATTTAGTCTCCCTCGCTGCGCGCGCGGGTCTCTCTCTCGAAATTAATCATTTCAGGGTAAAAACACATCATACAGCTGATAATACTGTATATGTCGCTGCGTGTCAGCCATACAAATCACGAAAAAATTATTTAACCTTTAATTGTTGCTTCAAAGACACAGCATGCCTTGTTGAATTCACCTTACAATAACTTCAATTGAAATTTTGTGTGAAAAAAAAACTTTAAATAGGCTACAATAAATAAACTACAATATTTATAATTTAATAAGATATGGGGCCTACATTTGGACACAGATTTATCCTTACAATAATTTTGCCTGCTCATCAGGCTGGCTATCCGACACTCTCCATATGAAAGAGGAACATTAACACCTTTGTCCAGCAACTGTCCCTCCAACCCCCCACAGGCTATCGGAGTCTGAGGCTGACTTAACACAAAGAGAAGTCGCAATTCACACTTAAATCGCCATTCTAGACAGTGTTGATAATGAAGGAATTAAATGATTTAAGTTACATGTAGCCTAGTGATATTTCTGTCATAAAAGTTTATTACTAAATATTTCATTATTTCAATAATTGATGAAATAAAACTGGTTTGGGGCAGCTTTTTCCAAGCAAAACTAAATATAATCTGAAAAAACGCTTGTGAATTTGTTGTCACTTAATATTAAAGTCTACAGGGATCTTTGGATCCTTACAACCAGGCATGCAATTTGTGAATTAAGTTTTTATTTTATTTTGTATTATTCAAATAAATATCGAAACACGGTGCTTCGTGGTAATGCTGCTAAATTAAATAACATTTATAGAATAATTATGAACTTAAATGAAACAATATCGCAACATTTCGACAAATACATTATTATGTTTTTACATTTTAATTCAGGGCGATTTAGCCTACATTTAATTAGAGCGAGATTTTCACCCATGTCTTGTCATTTTCTCATTGGGAAGCGCATGTTTGAGTAGATCCTCTGTACCTCTCGTTTTCATATGGATTAGCCTACATAATCAGATAACATTTATTAGCCTAAATATTTAGACATTTAAAGGCTTTAGACATAGCCGATTTCTTATCGTGACTGAGCTGAAGTGGCTTTCGGTTCATTTTTGTGACGCGCAGTTCCCGGAGACAGAGAGGACAGATATACTGTTTTTGTCGTTAGCCTAATATGAATACAAGTTTACAGTTTTGAACGATGTAAGCTACTCTACTCTTATCTGTATGACCAAAAAATTACGGAGTCGCCTATTAAGTTATTTTAGCTGTAATAATGAGATAAATAAATTAATCTAAATGAACGCGCCGCCGCGTTTGTCGAACACTAACTCACGATGCCAGAATAAAACCCGACTTTAGAAAAATGCATAGGGTCACTCGGCGTGGTGTGCCAAAACACTTAATTATAAACTTCAATATTTCATTCAAAATAATCTCAACACGCTTTGTGAAATTTTGAAAAGCCGTGCATGCATTAAGGCCACTGGAACTAATGAACAACTGAAACGCTGGTTTTGATTTTATTGTTTTTCGTTTAAACGTGCCTGTTGCATATCTCTATTTTATTTATTTGATATTGGTGAAGTAGCCTATAGCATTGATTAGCTGTGGAGGGAGGGGTGTGGGGATTAAAATAATTCAGCAGAAGTAGGGATGTTTAGACCAGAAGGAAATCCCAGTCCCCCCTGGCAAATCACACTTTACTTAAAACCATGTTTTTAAAAACTCTAGGTTGTAGGGAACAGACCTCTCTGCCATGCGCGCGCACGGTTTGGAGCACAATATCTGTCTCGCATGCACGCTCGCTCTAAATAGATTACGGGATATTTTAACTAATTTACGGTATAACTAGTCGATCACGAGTGGCTCAACAGGTAGATCTATAGATAAACTATATCTTTCAGGAATTTGACCGACCGGGTTGACACTTCAGCGTGAGAAATCGGGGGGGTGGCGTGAGAGCCTGGAATAAATAAATAAAAAAATATATATAGCCTATATAAAACAAAACTGTATGGTGTAACAGAGTTTTAGAGCTAGACAAATCTCTCTGCAATAATAAATATAAAATATACAGCAGACCATGTTTGTGCGGGATTTGAACCTGTGTCATCTTGATGATGAACCATCAGTTCTACCGCTCGGCTATGAATTTTGTTACTGAGAAATAACCAAACGTTTGATTCTCACATGAGCGAGAAAACGTTTTGTCTTTAGCCTGTGAGTGTAGGCCTACTTTAACCTTTTACAGTTTTAAAAGATTATATCTTATCTGTATGACCAACAATTTGTTGTAGGCTTATTTGGAAATTACCATAACTTGTAGTATTTCATCCTTAGGCTACTGTTAATAGACATTAGCCCCACTTACGTTTTGCTAAATGTCCCTTTGCGCCACCTGGCGGTCATTTCGCGTACGACTTTGAAATGCGACTGGTTTATTTTTACCGCGGTGGATGGCTAAAAATGGTATGTGGATGGCTAAAATGTGTGACTAAAAATGTGCTTTTGGCTTTCATTTATATTTTGATTGTTTGTATATATATATATATATATATATATATGTATATGTATATATATATATATATATATATATATATATATGTATATATATATATATATATATATATATATATATATATATATATATATATATAATGAGCCTTTCATTCAGGGGTGTCACACAAGAAAGAATGCAAGGACAATATATATATATATATAAATAAATAAATATTTATATACACACACACACACACACACACACACACACACATATATATATATATATATATATATGTGTGTGTGTGTGTGTGTGTGTATATAAATATTTATTTATTTATATATATATATTGTCCTTGCATTCTTTCTTGTGTGACACCCCTGAATGAAAGGCTCATTAGTATGCAGTCTGCTCAGGTGAGAACTGCCTAATTATTCATGAGGGGGTTGGGCCGATCCGCCCATCCGCATATTGCCTTTGCAAACAAAAAAATGTTTTTCACAATTTAAAACAATCTATTGTTTTATGTGAATGATTAGCCAGAATGATTTTCAGATCAATTTGAAGCAAATACTCTAGGCGACAACATCCACTAGTCAAAAGTCTTGTGGACAGATATTTAGTATGTTATTTGTGGCCATATATTAGAAAATTTATTTTTTAGTTTTTTCAATAACCACGCATAAACAATATTCTCTCAAAAATACAAACATGTACATACATGTTGCTCACATATAATGGTAGCCCTGTGTGTGCTATATAGAGTGTAATTTCACCTGTGCCATTAATATGTTTATAAGCAACTGAAAAATGCACAAATGTCAGAGCATGCCAAAACATCTCAAGGACCCCGAAAACACCTCAGACCCCAGAGGGTTAAATTACCCCCCCCCCCCCAGGCTATTATAGGCAAGTATAACATAAACACATTTCTGTTTCTCTGTTGATTTGTTCTGAATGATTCATGACTCATAAGCAATGTTCTTTGTATATTATTCTATTACATTTTAGCATGTAATTGATTTTTTAATGCTTAGAAATAAGTTAGGGTTATGGGTTAACATAAATACAGTTAGGGTTATTGGTTAACAGTATAATTACAGTTGTAACCAATGCAGGTACTTTAAATGTAAGTACAATGTAACAAATGCTTATTTTGACTCTTAGCCTTGTTAATTGTCACTGCGTGCTATTATAAAATGTAATTATATAATGTAATATATTTGTAATTCCTAGATAAAGACTGGGAGGATATCCGGAAAATGCCAGAATATCCAACTTTACAGAAAGATTTCAGAAGAACCACGTGAGTGCTGTATTTTCAAATGTATTTTCAACAGCAAAAACAAAATGAGTGTTGATTATCACGATTTATATTCATTTATGTGAGTGTTTAACTTTAAAGTTAGTCTATCAATTCAGTGCTGTACAGTTTGAACACAGCTAATTTAATATATATAATTCATGGCTATACTTAGAATTTTCAAACAAAATGAAACAGCGCACATCCCAAAAACAGTTTGAGCAGGTGTGTGACCAAAAACTTTTAAGAAGGCCTTCAAATAAGAACTAAATGACAGCACAATCCTCTCAAACATTTTATACTAGACAAAACATCGTTTTGACGGGAAGACAAAAAGATTACTTAAAATACTTTATCTCTTTGTAAAACTACATGATATTACTCACTTTTCTTCATATATTAACTTGTTCAATACCAAAACATGGTAAAGAGCGCAAATTATGTTTCACGAGATTAAAATGGATGGCAATGTGATTGTTTTCATCCCTCAAAGGGTTGAAATGTTAATTCTCTACCATTATATTTGAGTTTGAGAGCATTGTGGCAGTGTGCTGCCCTTTTGTGTATCCCTGTAGTAGACTTTAGCACTAAGTGTGCATGAGCATTAGTGATTCTTCAGATGTGTTTTACAGATATGCCAACAGCAGTCTCATCAAATACATGGAGAAACATAAAGTCAAACCAGACAGCAAAGTGTTTCTATTGGTGAGTCTGTTGTACACTTACACTTATCTCAACTTTTACTTTTACGTACAACATTATATGCTTCACAAAAACATTTCTTTTAAGATGGTTACTTATGTATATCCTTAGTTCCAGTAGTAAATTTCAATACTTTTGCAAATATCGCAATGATCCAGTAAGATTTTTGTGAAGGACTGATACTGTCATTGTCCACACAGAGATCTGGCTTACAGAGACTTACACTGTAAAGGGCTTTCTGAACACTAGTCGTCTAATCATTCAGAAAATCCCACCAACTCGATTATGCAGAATTGGTTTTGCACATCCTTAGAAATTGTCACGGCTGGGCTGAGGATGAAGACGAGGCAGCGAAGCGGACCAATAAGCAGTGTGCTTTATTGAATAAAATGAAGAGTAATTCAAACAAGTGGGAAGGCAACGTAACAGTGTGCGTAGCACAGACAACACCAGACGGTGAACTAAAGAAGCTGAGGGCATTTTACACACAGAGAACTAATCATCAAATAAGGAGTAGGTGTGAGTAAATCAACGAAAAACCATGGCGACGGAAGAAAAAAGACATAGAAAATGACAATAAACAAACTTAAAGTTCTTGAAAACGGATTGTGACAGTAATAGTAATGAATATGAATCTAATCTAGCTCCAGAAATTGCTGACAATGGACCCCACCAAAAGAATCACTTCTGAGCAGGCACTGCAGGACCCATATTTCCTGGAGGACCCCTTACCTACATCTGAGTAAGACTCATCCCACACGCACACACATTTAGATGCATGCCGAGTGATCTCGAAGGAAAATAAGATTTATGACCTAAAGTACTGTATGTGGACACCCGAACTCCACACCCATATGTGTCTGTTCAGCATGCACTTTTCAAAAGCATTAGCATTAATAGGGAGTTGACCTTTCCTAAAGGCTTCCACTTGATGTAGAAACAAGGCTTTGGGGATTGTTCTATCGGTGAGCTCAGGCACTGCCACTGGGCGATGGTTCTGGCTCTATGTTCCCTATGTTTATCTAATTCGTGTTCTGTGTGGCTCAGGTCTGGGCTTTGTGCTGGCCAGTGTAGTTGTTTCACACCAGACTCAGACATCACATCATTTTTTATGGATCTCACTCTGTTAGAAGAGAAAAGGACCAAATTCTCTAGAGTGTTATTCTGTGTTGTTGCCTTTATGTACTTAGCCAGACTCTTTAATTAGAAGGGGGTGTCTGCTTGTTTTAGGCCATGTCGTGTAGCATACCACAAATATTCCTGTCTTTCCTTTCAAACTGCTTTTATAGCAGCTTAAACATGAACTCTAGTCGTTCACCTGTCACCAGTTGTCCATATTTATATGGGAAACAGTTGCAGTTCCTATAAAAATAGTTGTAATGTTTTCTTTGTGTGTGTTTTTAGTGTATTTGCAGGATGTCAGATTCCTTACCCCAAACGAGAGTTCCTAAGCGAGGATGAACCAGAGGAGAAAACAGAGAAGGTAACAATGCCTGATTAAGAAACTTTACTTTTTCTCACACTCTGATTTGTTTTCCGGATGTGATCTATAGCACTCAGTAATTTTGCAAGAAATTAAATCAGATAATTTTGTTTGCATAGAATAGTCAGTATCCATCAAATCTACATTGGTTGCTATAACTATGACTTAAAGGGATAGTTCACCCAAAATTTAAAATCCTGTCATCATTTACTCACCCTCATGTCGTTCCAAACCTGTATGAGTTTCTTTCGTCAAGATGTTTTGAAGAATGTTTGTAGTTGACGGTAGCCATTGACTTCAATAGTATTTTTTTCCTACGATGGCTTCCGTCAACTGTCTGGTTTCCAACATTCGTCAAAATATCCTTTTTAGTTCAACAGGAGAAACTCATACAGGTTTGGAACAACATAAGGGTGATCTATTTTTTGGTGAACTCTCCCTTTAGGTGTCAGAACAACAGCAAGAGACATATGTGAGTAGACTGGAAATTTTGCCCATGTTTTTAGTATCTCTCATATAATCAGTTTTATGACATCTCATTGGTTGTCATGTGTATGTTGTACAAGACCCATTCTCATTTAAGACACAGTCAAGTGATCGGACTTTGGACACAGTTACATTAAAGCTGAATCAAAGGAAATCAGAGCTTTGCGTCTTAATGAATCGTTTTTGTGTGTGGTCTTATATATGCTGCCTAAATACAATGAAGATTTTATCAGGAGTTTTCAGACTTTTGTCATATATTGTTCCTGTTATAATATTTTAATTCTTGGTGATTTTAACATACATTCACGAGTCCGACTATCTTATTGCACCTAGAGTTCTGTTTTCAACCATAAACAGATTATTCATTCAGGTTGGAGGGTTGGGATCAAATCCCTCCTCAGATACATTCAAAATGTTCATCAAGTATTTTTGGGAAAGTTTAAAATGGAATTAAGATAAGCAAACAAATGACTTCTTTCTAATCCGCGTGAACACTTATAGCTCAAAGGTGAACATGTCTTTGTTGTTGTTTTGGTAACGCTTCCTTTTACAGTACAGTACTTATGTGTACTTACAGTGTACTTACCTAGAAAGTACTGGCTAATATAAAGTAAGTACATGGGTTAGGGGTCGGTTCAGGGTTAGTACCTAGTTATTACCCAGTAATTATAATTACTATAATAAGTACATAGTAAGTACATGGGTAACAGGACTGTAAAAGGAAGCGTTACCGTTGTTTTAAGTCCAAGGTTGTGAAAAAGAATTGACACATAAAATTAAGGGCCCTATTATACACCTGGTGCAATGCAAGTGTGTTTTGCTAGTTTCAGCCCGACGCAGTTTTCATTTTCACGTCCTGCGCCACGTTGTTTAAATAGCAAATGCATGTGCGCCCAGGGGCTGCTGGTCTGAAACCTGGTCTAAAGTCAATGGTGCAGTATTTTTTTATTTATTTAAAGAGCCCGTTGGTAATATGCGCCTACGGGCGGGTACAACACGCGCGTACACTCTGTTTATTACACACACACTCTCTCTGCTTATTACACACACAGGGACACTCAGCAGCACACAAACATGACAAATATTAAAAATAAAAGGATTACAATGTAAAAGATTAATATTGTGCACATAAAGATATGGTGGAATCCGGCTTGTCCCGTAGATGGTCTTTAACCTCGCGCACGAGCAGATCCGTTTGCGCTCTGGAGAAGCGTTCAGTTTTTCCACTTGCAAATTCCGTCATGTAAATAGCGAATCCGCCATGGTGCTTTTGAAGGGAATGGGAGATGAGACTCTGATTGATTTATTGCTGAATAGGTTTAGTACCTATTCCTGTTACGCCCAAAACACAGCCATTACTCATTAAGAGAATAGGGACGACCCTTTTAGACCATGCGCCGGGAGCGTCGACCATTTTTCCCATTCTTATACTAGCAAAAGTGGATTCGGACGTGCACTAAGTGCACTTGCACCCTGCGCTTTAGACCATGAGCTTAGATATTTAAAATAGGGCCCTAAAGCCTCCAGTACTGTCACTTCTTTGAAAGTTCAATTAAAATGTGTTTGTTTTCTTTGGCATTTAATTTGTGCAACAAAAAAATTAAAAAATTTTCTTCCAGCCTAACCCACTAAACAGTGTAGGCTAGTGTAGGGATACGCAGTTTTGACGCTTTCTTTAGAACATTTATTGATGTCAACCTTGCACAGGACATTGTGACCATGAGCAGGGCACTTTGGTCCTTCAGGGAGACTGTCCCTGTAAAAAGTGTACTGTAAACTACTTTAGATAAAAGCTTCTGCTAAAATGACTGCTTTATTACCGTTTCTACAGCTAATTTCTAATGTTACTCATTCCAGTGGAACCAAGAGTGAAGCTGAGTGTAAGAAATGAGGGAGCAGCAGAGCAAGCTGCTCAGATAGCAGTGTTGTTGAGCTGTGCACTCGGGCAATGAAGGATGAAACGTATCCAGGCAAAAGGCAAACAAATGCAAACAAACAAACACACGCAGCATAAAGCAACCAGCTCACGTCTCCAATGCTTGACTGAGCCAATATTTACCCTTACATTTAGTGACTTTAGCCAACTCATATAATGTTCATGTTTTTCTGTGTAGTACAATATGTGGATGGCTGTGGTTGTGTTTGACCAAATGAACCTTCCAAACACATCCATTACACTCAAAGACCTACAGAACTGGATTGGGTTCCTACCACACAAAAACCCTTATTTACCAAAGGTTTGCATGTACAAAAAACATGCACACATGACAGCACACGCAAAAAAGCTGATCTACTAATAGTAGGCTACTTAAGACTGCGTCTTTCATTCTATTGTGTCATTTTCTGAGTGTTTCCCACACAAAACACAAGGCATTGTCATCGCATACCCAGTGCATTCCTGTCGGTATTCAATCATTTCCTGTGTTTTGTTCAGAAGTATATTTGTATTTAAGATAAAATCATAACTAGGCTTTGGCAGCCTCAAACCACGGCAGCGCCAGCATGTCAATAAATTAAATGTTATGATATTTTCTATATATAATCCTACATAGCCTACATGTGACTTGCTTGTGTCCATCGAGTAAGCAATAGTCATTGATCTGACACTTCTATGATCTTACAGTTTCAGTTGATTGATCACAGATCTGCTTATCTTGCCTATTTTACACCAATTCGATTTTAGAGCCAGACATGTATGTTTTTTAATAAGTGGTTGACTCATATCGAGTTTTTGCCTGTATCTTCTGGGTTTGGCTCTTTTAAAATGAACTAAATGTGAAAACACCCTTATAGAGTTGGATGGTGGATAGACGATATAAACGATATCACACTATTTAATTTAAAGATTGTAAATATCACATAAATAACTTCATCAATGAAATGTATATTTTTTTTACATAATATTTAATAAAAAAATAATTTCAAAATCAATCCACAGATTTATACTTTATAGCAACTTCTTGATTCTGTAATCTTAGTATAGTGTTTTCCACAAATAAAGAAATAGTTAAAAACCTATATATATATATATATATATATATATATATATATATATATATATATATATATACAGGTCCTTCTCAAAAAATTTGCATATTGTGATAAAGTTCATTATTTTCCATAATGTAATGATAAAAATTAAACTTTCATATATTTTAGATTCATTGCACACCAACTGAAATATTTTAGGTCTTTTATTGTTTTAATACTGATGATTTTGGCATACAGCTCATGAAAACCCAAAATTCCTGTCTCAAAAAATTAGCATATCATGAAAAGGGTCTCTAAACGAGCTATTAACCTAATTAACTAATTAACTCTAAACACCTGCGAAAGATTCCTGAGGCTTTTAAAAACTCCCAGCCTGTTTCATTACTCAAAACCGCAATCATGGGTAAGACTGCCGACCTGACTGCTGTCCAGAAGGCCATCATTGACACCCTCAAGCAAGAGGGTAAGACAGAAAGAAATTTCTGAACAAATAGGCTGTTCCCATAGTGCTGTATCAAGGCACCTCAGTGGGAAGTCTGTGGGAAGGAAAAAGTGTGGCAAAAAACGCTGCACAACGAGAAGAGGTGACCGGACCCTGAGGAAGATTGTGGAGAAGGACCGATTCCAGACCTTGGGGGACCTGCGGAAGCAGTGGACTGAGTCTGGAGTAGAAACATCCAGAGCCACCGTGCACAGGCGTGTGCAGGAAATGGGCTACCGGTGCCCCATTCCCCAGGTCAAGCCACTTTTGAACCAGAAACAGCGGCAGAAGCGCCTGACCTGGGCTACAGAGAAGCAGCACTGGACTGTTGGCTCAGTTTTTTTCATGTCATTCGGAAATCAAGGTGCCAGAGACTGGAGGAAGACTGGGGAGAAGGAAATGCCAAAATGACTGAAGTCCAGTGTCAAGTACCCACAGTCAGTGATGGTCTGGGGTGCCATGTCAGCTGCTGGTGTTGGTGCACTGTGTTTTATCAAGGGCAGGGTCAATGCAGCTAGCTATCAGGAGTTTTGGAGCACTTCATGCTTCCATCTGCTGAAAAGCTTTATGGAGATGCAGATTTCATTTTTCAGCACGACCTGGCACCTGCTCACAGTGCCAAAACCACTGGTAAATGGTTTACTGACCATGGTATTACTGTGCTCAATTGGCCTGCCAACTCTCCTGACCTGAACCCCACAGAGAATCTGTGGGATATTGTGAAGAGAAAGTTGAGAGACGCAAGACCCAACACTCTGGATGAGCTTAAGGCTGCTATCGAAGCATCCTGGGCCTCCATAACACCTCAGCAGTGCCACAGGCTGATTGCCTCCATGCCACGCCGCATTGAAGCAGTCATTTCTGCAAAAGGATTCCCGACCAAGTATTGACTATTGAGTGCATAACTGAACATAATTATTTGAAGGTTGACTTTTTTTTTTGTATTAAAATCACTTCTTTGATTGGTCGGATGAAATATGCTAATTTTTTGAGATAGGAATTTTGGGTTTTCATGAGCTTTCAAATCATCAGTATTAAAACA